AAATAAACGAAATCAATGAAAAAAAAAAAAATCAAAAAAAAAATAAAAAATAAAAAAAAATAAAAAAATAAAAAAAAAAAAGTCAAAATTCCCTCACGCTATTCTTCCTTGGCTGTAGGCTACTGTTATTTTTAGATCTTCTGCTATACCCAGCTAAGACAATACATAGAAACGTGCAAAATGTCCTATATGAGTGTACTATCTAGAATAGTGTATAAATCCGTATGATTCTACACTGTTCACATAAAATGATACATATGCACAATTTCTAAAATAAGGTTATAAACGTGTTTCTGTAATTTGACTCTTTTCACTCACGTAATATTTTGTGTATATTTTAAATGCCAGAACCTACAAAATGATGTCAGTCCTTTTTTTTTTTTTTAAACACAATCTGCTTACCATGAATGTTCTACAATTTAATAAACTCCCTACCTATGAGGATTGAGGACAAAATACTACGGTAAGCATCCTTGCACATTTTCTGGTAATTTCTGCACAATAAAATCCTAGAATTGGTGAGCCAAAAGGTAATGAACAAAGTTGAATGTGTGTGTGTGTATGTGCACGCGCGTGTGTATTTTAGATGAAGTCTTGTTCTGTCACCCACGCCGGAGAGTGTGGTATGTGATCACAGCTCACCGCATCACTGCCGCTTCGAGTTCCTGGGATCAAGTGATACTCCTGCCTCAGCCTCCCAAGTTGCTGGGAGTACAGGTGCATGCCACCATAACTGGCTACGGCACACAAATTTTTCACAGGTATGAAAGGATAAAGGTAGAACAGGCAGGACACGGAGACTGTCTACACGCAGGGTATGGGAGAATAAAGGACTCCAGGATTTCTGTGGACTCCTGGATTCCATGATTGGGTAGGTGGCAATATCATTAACAATCAAAAAAGAGTTCACACCTAAGGTGTGAGCTGGACTAATCCGGCAGGGAGGGATGTACACGGGGTGGAGGAAGGAGCTGTGGCCAAAAATGCAAATCAACACAGAACCACGGAAACTCCATCATTTAAGGAGTGATAGAAGCAGAGAAGCCACAAAGGCATGGAGCAGGCAGAAAGTTGGAACACAGAAGGCTTAACAGGAACACAGAAGCCTGAAGAGGAAAGGCTTTGAGGAAAAGTCAGTGCCAAATGGTACAGTGGGTCAAGGAAGATTTCTAACTGACCACCTGATGAGTAAATTGGGAGATATCAAATCACTTGGTAATAAAAATTCTAATGACAAGGTAGGAACCAACGCCAGAATCAAGTGGATTGAGGAAACAGGAATAAAGTGAAGTCTGCCCAGTCTTCTGAGAAGCTTCACTGTGAAGGAAAGGCAGGGGTGGAGGGAGGGACTGGGATGTGCTCACGTTTTGAAGCGAGTGACTGAGCATGAGCATAAACCAAGAGGGGGGAGCCAGTGAGATGACGGGTTCACATGCAAGACAAGTGGAGAATCTTGAGGGGAAAGAGGCAAAAGAGCCCGCAGACAGAGGCGTCAGGCTTGCACACAAGCAAAGTGCAGGGGCTCGAGATGTACTATCTTGGGGTTCCTCGCATGGTTCAAAGGCAAACGCAGTGGGGCTCTGCGGAGAGGACGGTAATAGACAGCGGTGCTTTCCAAACCTGTGTCCACAGGGATCACCTGTGGATCTGGGTAAAGGCAGATTCTGTCAGAAGAACAGAATTCAAGCTCCAGTTCTAATATTTATGCTGTCACGCATGGAGTAAATGACTATTTCCCTGAACTGCACTTGTAGCCGTAACTTCCCAAGCTGTTAGGATAGAAATGGCCCTGCGGGAGGTCGTCCACGAGAGGAGGACAGGTGCACACCTATAAAGCCAAATCACCGAAGAACGAAGCAGAGGCACAGGCAGATTTAGCACCAAGAACACTGTGTCATGGGGGAATTTCATTTTCTCCAAAAGAAGCGAAAAGCCAAAAACTAGATTTCGGTGAGAAAACTATGATTTTCAAAGGCTGAGAGAAAAAAGTTGATGGGGCATATTAGAATTGGTACATTTATAAATTCAAAATGGAAAGACAAAGCCTTTGAAATAGTTAATGGAAAAAGTTTTCATGACGATGCCACTGACCTATTCATGTATGGTATGTGGCTTAGCTTTCCAAACTAGGCTGGATGTTTAAAGCTAGGTGCATCTCTACACACACACACACACACACACACACGTCACACACACGTCACACACACGTCACACACACGTCTACAGTGCTGGATAAAAAATTAAAGCTGTAAAACAGCTTTGTAGCTTTTTTTTTTTTTTTTTTCCTTAAGAAACTCAATCTTAAATAGATTTTCAGCTGTTTTATATCTGATGGAATTTGTTTTATTCTGGCCAGCACTGTTTTAAGCCCATAGAAGATTTGTTTGTTTGTTCTGGAGACAGGGTTTCGTCATGTTGCCCAAGCTGGTCTTGAACTACTGGGGTCAAGCAATCCACCCACCTCAGCCTCCCAAAAGTGCTGGGAGTACAAGTGTCAGCCACCATGCCTGGCCCAAAAAAATATTTTTCAAAAAATTATTTTTAATTTCTTTCCCATTTCCCTTTTCAGGAATGAGGAAGAATTTTTTTTTCCTTTGATCCAGGGTCTCACCCGGTTCTCAAGGCTGAATACAATGGCACTATCGTGAGTTCACAGCAGCCTCGACCTCCCCAGATCAAGTGATCCTCCCACTTTTTTTTTTTTTTTTTGTAGAGACGGGTTTTGCCATGTTGCCCAGGCTGGTCTCAAACTTCTCGGCTCAAGCAATTCCTCCACCTTGGCCTCCCTAGAATGCTTGGCCTCCCGTGGAATTAAAGGCATGAGCCACCATGCCAAGCCAAAAAGACTTCCTTTTTTTTGAGACAGGGTCTCACTCTGGCTGGAGTGCAGTGGTGCAATCTTGGCTCACTGCAACGTTTGCCTCCCAGGTTCAAGCAATTCTCCTGCCTCAGCCTCCCAAATAACTAGAATTATAGGCGTGTGCCAGCATGCCTGGCTAATTATCTTTTTAAAAATATGCAACACTTCACGAATTTGCGTGTCATCCTTCCGCACGGGGCCATGATAATCTTCTCTGTATTGCTCCAATTTTAGTGTATGTGCTGCCGAAGCGAGCACTAATTTTTGTATTTTTAGTAGAGATGGGACTTCACCATGTGGGTCAAGGCTGGTCTGAAACTCCAGACCTCAAATGATCCACCCACCTCGGCCTCCAAAAGTGCTGGGATTATAGGCATGAGCCACTCCACCCGGGCAAGACTTTTAAATATAGGCATTCATCAAGTAAAATCTATAGTGATGAGAGAATGACCTCAGAAGCCATCCTCCTGTCTGCCAGTGTCACTTTACTGCTTGTCTTAGCCTTTGTCCTAAAGGCAGAACCAGAGGCCAAAGCTTGTGTGCGGTCATTTATTTGGAAACAAGTGGAGAGGTGAAACACGAGGCAGGAAGGCCTAGCAAGGATGTGTTGAGTTGGCTTGATCTCGAGCGGCCTTCAAGGAGCCTTATGAAAGGTACCCCTGAGGAGCAGAGGGCACCTCTCTGGGTTGTCAGTACCCGAGTACCAGGCAGTTTCTGCAGCTCATCAGAAGCCAAGGGCAGAAAGCGAGAGGTCTCTGGAGCAGAAGGCAAGGTCTAGCTCTACTTGAAACTGGTTGCTCCAGCAGTGGCTGAAGGCCAAGATGAGTGGCAGGGACACACAGGGTCTCAGGCACCACTCTTGTAAGTGACCCGAATGCCCTGATGCCACCAAAGGCTGTAAAATGCACTAGGATGACCCTGAAAAGAGTTTCTAAGGTAAGTCATGGTTTTGGTATATTGTAGAATTTTTTTTTTTTTTTTTTTTTGTTGAGATAGAGTCTCGCTCTGTTGCCCAGGCTTGGGGTTCACTGGCTCAATCTTGGCTCACTGAAGCCTCCGCCTCCGAAGTCCACATGATACTCCTGCCTCAGCCTTCTGAGTAGCTGGGATTACAGGTACCCACCACTATGCCCAGCTAATTTTTGTATTTTTAGTAGAGACAGGGTTTCATCACATAGGTCAGCTGGTCTCGAACTCCTGACCTCAAGTGATCCACCTCCCCAGCCTCTCAAAGTGCTGGGATTCGAGGCGTACGCCACCATGCTCAGCGAGATTTCATTTTTTAAAATTGAAGACTTAACCTTTTCAGAGCAACCGTACAAGCAACGTACAAATAAGGGATGATAACATCAGCACCAAACTACACACTTATTCATTTCTGGGTTAATTCTGTGGCTCCTGTAACTTTAGTTCTTCATTTTACTTTCTCACCTACTTGTACTTTGTTACCTGTTGTAATAAGCCACCTTATATCCTTTTGTGAAAACAGATTTGCTTATTTGGAATCGATTGCTGGCACCCAAGTGAATAACACGAACAACAAACCAAAAAATGCTTTTTTAAAAAGAGAACCCCAAAAGCACTTTAACATGCCCTTCCAGGAGATAAGGTGAATAAGGCCAAAGGGACCTTCTAGATGCTTTGTTGCCAGCCCAAACCCCACTCTCCATTTACTTGAAGGCACACAGGTTTCTGCCAACTCAATTATTCAGGTCTTAAGGACCTACCAGCCTCAGTCAAGGAATTACATACATCTGCTTGTCAAGGACAGGTCTTCGCAGACTTTTCATCTACATGCCTGGCATATAGCTGAAGTCAAATAAAGACTTTTGTAGTTTTTTTGAGAAAGGGTCTCATTCTGTTGCCCAGGCTGGAGTGCAGTGGTGCCATCTCAGCTCACTGCAACCTCTACTGCCCGGGTTGCAGCGATTCTCATGTCTCAGGCTCCCGAGTAGCTGGGATTACAAGTGTACACCACCACGCCTGGCTAAATTTTGTATTTTCAGTAGAGATGGGGTTTCGCCATATTGGCCAGGCTGGTCTTGAACTCCTGACCTCAAGTGATCTGCCTGCCTCAGCCTCCCGAAGTGTTGGGATTACAGGTGTGAGCCGCAGAGCCTGGCCTGATGATGAAATGACACAGGCTGCTAGAAATGTTTACTGGTGAATGAGCTCGTGCAGTGCTGTGCTACAGCAGCTGCTCTGCGAGTCCATGTGGGACTTGCAGGTCTCAGCAGTTGCACTTACAACAGCAGAGTATGGAATCAGCTTGATAATCATTTAAAACTCTCACCTATGAACATCTAAACCCCATTAAAGCAAAAATATCATTTCGAAAAAAACAAAAAAAGGCAGATTCTGATTTGATATGTTTCGGTGGGGGCTGATGTCTAACGAGCTCCCAGGTGATGCCTGGCGGCTGCTGCCTGGCAACCACCCTTGAGCTGCGAGGCACCCAAGGCCTGAAGAGCCTGGTGATGCTCTGACTGAGCCACAAGACTGAGCCACATGCAGAGACATGAACTGCCAAGGAATTCACTTTGGCAGAGAGGGGAATGAGGGTTTCTGGCTGTTTGGCTTAGTATTTATTTCTATCCCAAAATAGCAGGTTGATCTTCTCCCCAGCTGACAGGCGTCCAGGCTGGTCTGAAGTGGAGATTGCTCCAGAGTGGGGTGGAGGGCCTTGCAGAGGGTGGCCACCTGCTCAGGAAGACCTGGGCCGCACTCCAAGTCTTCACTGAAGCACTGGAGGCGCAGGAGGAGATCCTCTGGCAAGTCCCTTCCAGGTGCATGCTAGCTACAACACTAAGTCCAAGAGTGACAGTAAATGTTTCCTCCTTTCCTACTGCAAGGGACAGATGTCATCACTGAGGAGAAATAGGATCAGTGTTCACATCTGGACACCAGCAAGAGGCCAGACAGCTTGTGACTTCATACAAAATGTTTTCATTTAAAATTTTATTTGCGGCCAGGTGCGGTGGCTCATGAGTGCAATCCCAGCACTTTGGGAGGTCGAGGCTGGCGAATCACAAAGTCAGGAGTTCTAGACCATCCTGACCAACATGGTGAAATCCTGTCTCTACTACCAGCTACTCAGGGCCTGAGGCAAGAGAATCTGGGCGATAGAGGTTGCAGTGAGCCGAGATTGTGCCACTGCACTCGAGCCTGGGCAACAGAGCGAGACTCTGTCTAAAAAAACTTTATTTGTAAAATGTCCTTACTGCTGAAACTAAAACCATTATCAGGTTCTATTGCTTAAGACTTAAGAAATCTTCAGAGATTTTTCTAAATCAAATCAACCTAAGTATTAATATTTCTCCCCGGCCAGGTGCAGTGGCTCACGCCCGTAATCCCAGCACTCTGGGAAGCTGAGGCGGGAGGATCAAGAGACCAAGACCATCCTAGCCAACAATGGTGAAGCCCCGTCTCTACTAAAAATGCAAAAATTAGCTGGGCGTAGTGGCACATGCCTGTAGTCCCAGCTACTCAGGAGGCAGAGGCAGGAGAATTGCTTGAACCCAGAGGCGGAGGCTGCAGTAAGCCAAGATCGC